TAGTAGAGTTTCATTTAGCTAGGCCTGTATAAATTTGGTATAACCATTACCAAACAAGGACTGTTTCCACCAAACTCTTGGCAGTCCTCTAGGCTTAAAATCAGTTCGCTTGGCGAAAAATCTAAGCAGGCAAGGCCTACAGTACTCGGCCTTGCTTGAATTCTGCCTTTCGCGGCAGCTGCTCTGGTGACACTGATCTGGGTGGCATATCAGTCATAAACTTAGCCTATTTCCTCCGTGATCATACCGCCTGAACTAATAATCCCTACATCCAAAGTCTTATATACTCGAAATAATACCACGCTTTACAATCCGACCAAAATATTCATACAATTTGAATGCACAAAACTTTTCGTAGGGCTAGACTTCGTCACTGTTATGGTACAGAATCTAGGCCTAGATCGAGAGAATCAGTTTCCCCTTCGTGATTATTACTATTGTATCAAATTTTTCCAATAATTTTAATGCAGACCTCCCTTAAAACAGTACTACGGTATATAAAATGTTAGGAGGCCTTATGAATCTTCTTGTGTATATTCAATTTTTAGTGCTTGTCATGTGAGGTGAACAGTGTGTGACTAGCGAAAAATGTACTTTATTAGCAGATGATTAGCTAGGCAAAGAGAGTACAGTATATTCTTATAAAACTGTCATCGACAAATTGGCGTAATTGGGTTCCATTCAATAATAAGAGTCATGTCATTTATATAGCCATCAAGCAAGTCATCATCCTCAGGACTTAGGCCAAGGCACATATATACACACACTACTGCTAGTCTTTGGTAATCTATTTATATGACAACACTTGCAATAAAAAAATTGAATATACTGTAAACAAGAGGATTCATACAGGCCTAGCATTTTATATACCGTAGTACTGCATTAAATGGCCCTGCATCAAAAGTAGATTTGAAAAATTTGACACTAATAAATAGGCCCTAATCACGAAGGGGAAACTCATTCTTGATCTACAATAGGCCTAGATTCTGTACCATGAGAGTAACGAAGTCTACGTAAAGTTTTGTGCATTCAAAGTGTATGAATATTTTGGTCGGATAAGATAATCTAGGCATCTTGGACTAAAACTTGGGATGTGGGGATTGTGAACTTCAGACTTGGTAAGACCGTGTTTATGACTGATGTATGCCACCAACAGCTATGTCACTAGAGCAGGGCCGCCGCCAAAAGAAGAATCCAAGCACGGCCTGGGCCTGCGTGCTTGCTTAGATTCTTCACCAGCGAAGAATTTAAAAGCAAGGCCTAGAGGCAGATTCCCTAGAGGAATGCCAAGAGTTTGGTACAGAAATCAGTCCTTGTTTTATAATGGTTATATATAGGGCTAGCTAAATGAAACTCTTTACTATAAAGTAGAACAATACGCCTATTTAACGATGACAGTAAAGTCAAACAATATTGTACTTTTGATGTTCTAATTTCCCAGTACATCGTTCTCCTTCTACCGCTCATTGCAGGTGATATGCAATGCCATGCCAGTCTTCAAAAAATGACGTCAGGCACATTCTGGCACTTCATTGGGTGAGGGTGACGTAATGTCATTTACCGTACCTTTAGCAAAACAAAGTAGAAATACGGTACCGTATCTCTAGCCATGGCATAACATGAATGCATTTTAGAATTCCAAAAAAAATTACATATTGTAATTAAAACAATTCATTTTGCCACAAACCTTTTTCAGTTATGTTACCATCTCCAAATAATTGTTGGTAGCGTGTTATTCTCACTCGGTCTCGTCCACATGGAAGCAAGTCTTGCTTAAAATCTCCCAGTATCTGCATATGTTCAGTATTCTTACTACAAGGGCAGGGGATGCACAACTTAACATGTATTCCTCTCCTATCATTAACATTGTGTAACTCAAACACAGTCTCAAGAAACTTCAACACCTGAAGAATAAGTACAATTGTTCTATAACTTATTTGGACAATTCTATAAATTTGTTATTCATGAACAAATAATCAATATTTAAATGAAAAAATTAAAAAAAAACAATACCTTTTTGCATGAATCAGGCTCTGGTTCAGTTGGAGGACTAGCCTCATTAAGAATCGCTGCTCTTACAATTGTTGTCTGCAAAAAAAAAAAAACATAATTAAATGTTTTGGTCTAGTTACATATTTGATAATGATTTATTAGAAAACTAGAAAGAAAATGATGAAAACATTTATGAGAAATGTTTATATAATTTGGAACAAGTAAAGGTGAATACATTTTTTGACAGTTAATCAAAAATAGTAATATGAATGAGATGAAAATCCAGCGCAACTGCGACTTTAAATGATGTTACAGACAAAGAAAATGATAGGAAGTCTGGGATTTTTTCCACAGCTAGTTTTAGAGAGCTGTGCATGCAGCTGGCAGAATTCAACAAGAGAGACCACAAACACTAGTTAGTGGTCAGATCATCTTAAAACATGGAAAGAAACTTTTTTTAAAGTTTCAACAAAATAATAAAAGCATTTGTCTTATAGGACAGACACAATTTAATGAGGTACCTCATTGAATTCATTTGATCGTCTTTATTTAGATCCAATGCTATTTCATTGTCCTATGCACCACAGCTAAATACAGAATTAAAAGCTCAGCTAGGATGTAGTGAACAAGCAGAAAAAGACTAGATAGGGACCTTTGAGATCCCTTAAAACATTTTTTACTTAAAAATATATTGTTATAAAAATTATTCTATATTTATATTTAACATATTAAATAATACAAATATAAACAAAAGTTGTGGGGGGGGGGGAACATTGTAATGTAATATAAACACGAAAAATATAATATAAACACACCTGTTTTAAACAATAAAAGTTGGGTTCTGATGTTTGTCATTTGTTTCTGATTTTGTCATCAATCTGCTTTGCATTGTATATACTTTATTAAAACATGTTTTGTTTCTCACTAAAATATTCTCTGTACATTATATATTTACACCTACATAGACCTATACCAATTTCGAAAGTCAGCCTATGTAATCTATGTTGGTTTTGTCATAAAATATTTAATCAGTCATGGACCATTCTA